CTGTACAGGAAACACAAGTTCATCTTCATTATCCGTAGCCAAATTGGGTCAAGTCCAAGTTTTTCACTGCGCTCTCTGTAGCTCATCTTGGAGGAATATCCGCACAGCTTCTTTGTAAAGCGTCGCTGTACCCTCTCAAGAGCATGCTGCTCAGATTTCCGCAGATTCGACTGTAGTAGTGAGCAGTATTCCATGCCAGGTAACATATATGTTTTGTGAAGCCAGATACGAGATTCTGTGAGTTGAAATTTATGACAGATATAGCCAATAGTCTTCATGGCTTTCGAAACTTGGAAGTCACAATGTTCCGAAAAGTTGAAGGTAGTGGAATACCGCACACCCAAGTCGCGAATCACTTTGCACTGTGATATAAACGTGCCTTGTAATAATAGACTGCCTGGTGGAACTTCGCATTTGTACGACAGAATATTACACTTGTCCACGGAAAAGGACATCTGCCACAGTTTGCTCCAGGATTCAAATGCCGATAGATCTTCCTGGATGTGGCACAAGGCTGCGCGGGTATCTGCACGTTCTTGTGATTAGACGCTTTTAATGTCATCAGCAAACAGAAAAGTAGCACCATGTCTTATTCTATGAAATACATCGTTGACGTAAAGGAGAAAAAGAAGTGGACCAAGTACACTTCCCTGAATTACTCCACTGGTGACTGCTTTCGGTTTAGAGACACGGTCGCCAATACGCACCACCTGATGTCTGTCAGCTAGGTATGACGACAACCAAGAAAACATTGGTTCTCCAATACCTATTTCCTTCAGTTTGAGGAGTAGTCTTCGATGCGGCACTCTGTCGAATACTTTTTGCATGTCTAAGAACAGGACAATAACACTGTTGTCTTTGACTATGGCAGCCGTTGTGTGGTTTAAGAAGTCTGTCTGGCATGTCGCACAAGATCTGCCCTGCAAAAAGCTATGTTGTGAATTGTTGATGAGGTTTTTCTTATTCAAGAAAATAAGTAATTCATCTTTCACTATCCTTTACATAATTCTAGATATTACAGGTGTGTGATTTATGGGGCGATAGTTTTTAATTTCGTGAACGTTTCCATTCTTATGCAGCGGGATAACAACGGAAGTCTTCCAGTGATTAGGATATACTGCACTGTTAAAAGAGAGCGTAAAAATGTTGAGCAATAGAAGAGGCAAGTCGCTCCCACCGCTTTTTAACAAACAAGGGGGAATTCCAGCAGGTCCTGGGTAAGTCGAGAAAGACAAGCGGGAGACTTGACCGGAGATTTTTGCAATAGTGAATTCCACTGTGCATAAACTTTCAGCAATGTGTGGTGTGACGAGTGCTGGTGTGGCTAGCGGTTCATCAACCATTGATTCGGCGAAATAGGCGCTGAAAGCCTCACAAATTTCACCCGGAGCATCAAGGTATGTGCCATCCGGCATAATGATAAAATTTATGGAATTACTGCGACGCAAACCTCTGGCACGAAACAGTTTGGACAGTTCCGTTGTTTTATTCGGGCCATTCAAAGCTTTGTATTCTTCTAATATGAGATTGCGAACATTTAGATGCCCAAGTTCTTCGATGATCTTTGCCTGCTGCAGTATTAACGCAAAGGCTGCTGTTAATCTGAATTTCCACCGGATCTTATGAAGCTTGCGTGTGATACCTAACACTTTGCGATCGGGTTTTTGTTTTCTTAGGCGGGCACACTTGAGAGGCACTAATGAATCAGTGCAAAGACCGATGATATCATAGAACACGTCTGCTGCTTTTTGAGGGCATGGAGAGAGGAAGAAATCATCCCAGTTCATCGAACGAACCATATCCTTAAACGTGTTCCAGTTGACGGAGTTGAATAAACGATAGTGCAGTGGCTGTGGTTCATTGGCCATGCGTAATCTTAAACAGCATTTGACCACCCGATGGTCGCTCCCAGGGAATTCATTAAGTACCGTTACATTAATAGCAGGTATGCCCAGCGAGAAAATGAGATCAAGGATGCTGTTTCCTCTGGTAGGTTTGGAGACATGTTGTTGCCAACCATTCATATGTTTACAAGAGATAAGATTATGAAATTTCAGAGGAGCAGTTCCTGCAGACCATGCAATCGATGGCAGATTGAAATCACCACCGATAATCTTGTGTTTAAACGGATGGCTTGCGGCACATTCAAATACAAACGTCAAAACTACTAAGTCCTCTTGGCTACAGTTTGGCGTGCTGTATATACAGCTAACAAGCAGTTGCTGGTGTCTGATCGTTATCGTAAGCCAAAGTGACTCTTGCACATTATTCAGCACTGGATTCTCGAATGTCGTTGCTGCCAGCGATTGTTTCGCGTAAAGTACGCATCCTCCTCCTCGACGACACTGCCGATTTCTCATAAACATATCATATCCGAAAATGGTTAGCTGGGTGTTAGACATGTCGTCATGGCACCACGACTCAGTTATAAATATTATGTCAGGATCGGTCACAGAAACAAATGAGCGTAGTATGTGGATCTTGGAATGAAGCGGACGAATATTAATCAAAAATATTAACATAGATTCGAGATGTGAAGAACGTTGTTTATGCTGCTTTATGAACATTGGGTCTGATAGCTTTGTGTCTGTGCCCATGCTAAAAGTTGGTGAAACAAGGCGTGGATTGACACCTTCGTTGAAAAGGGATTGGGGGGTAGCCACAGGGGAGAGGGTTGTGACTGAGTATGGCCCTGTGGAAAATGGGATACGGGGGCGGGTCCATGGTTGGCATAGCAGCTCATGAGGGCAGGAGGATTACAGAGCGGGCTTCCATGGAACTCGCTAGTGGACGCTAAATTTCGAGGCTGTGTCGCCTGCGTCGTGACACTAATAGGTTGTTGATTGTATAGATTGGTGAAATGAGTAAATACGCAATCGTCATTTTCATCGTGAAATGTAACCTGCTTAGGTGCGCTGGAGTCGTAAGGCTTCACTATAAGCGGTGGAGGCACACTAGTGTCAATCCATGCAGCTCGAACAGAATACATCGTGCTTTTAAGCCACACTGCTCAGCAGCAATTTTGCTTCCGCCAGAATCGGTCGTGCACCACCAATCAATGATGAGCACGAGACAACTGGACCGAAACAGTAGTTGTTGGTGCAGGAGTTGATGTGGCTTACCTCGAATTTCCTGAGGCGTTCGATCGGTTGGCACATCGTAATTCTCCCCAAACTTTAAGCGTAAGGCATTTGTGACCATCTCTTCTGGTGGATCTGCAATTATTCCTCGCACAAGCGTCTGGGGGTGAGTGCGTGAATGGACGGCAGACCCGATTCACTTCGAAGGCCGTATGCCACAGGACTCGCTATTGGAGTCCGTCTATTCTTGGTCATCATTAACAATCTAGTGAGCCAAATAACGTCAAACTGTTTACTCTATGCCGAAGACGTCAAAGTTTTACGAGCGATCAAAGCTTCAGAGATCGCATCCAGCTTCAAAATGACCTCGAGAAGATCTATGGATGGTCGGTCCAAAAACACTTTTTATTCAATGTAGCTACATGTCCAGTGTTCCGTTTAGGACACCGAATTGTTCACACTTATGAGTTGGAAGGCCAAGGCCTGTAACACAGTTCCCACGAAAAGTATATCGGCGTGCTGGTCCAGGAAGATCTCGACTGCTCATAACAGTCCACAAAAGCATCTGAGAAGGGATTCTAGACCGTGGGGCTTCTGCGCAGCGCTTACGGACGCGTTGAATCATATATTATTTGCCAACTACTTTCGCTTACCTGCGCCCTAATGTCAAATATGCGATTCAAACGTGACAGCAGTGGCTGAAGCGGGATCTCACTTTTTTGGAGATTCTGCAACGTCGGGCGACCAAAAGCGTTAATGGACTACGCAACATGTCAGACGGACAGCGCCTCAGAGTGCCAGGCATTTTTCGCAGACGCAATAGTCGTTTGTGTGGTGAACGTACCATGGTTCACCAAATTCTAAGAAACCCTAATCCCCCTATCATCACCCGCTGAAGCTCAGCCACAACAACAGACTGAGAGATCACCATCTTAAATTAGCCGAACTCTATAACCGGTAGGGGTGTCGAAGGAACCTCTCGCTTCGTGTTTGCCACACATGGAATGCCTCTTCAGAAGCTGTTATTTCAGCCCCCATGTTAGCCGTTTTCAAAGCTTGTGTCGACTTTGCCCCGTCCGTACTGCACCATAATAGGTAACCCAAACGACCCGCACAAACAGCAGACAAACGTATGCGCATCAAACCACCCTTATTTTGCTTGGAAATCACAGACAATGAACATGGATATTACTAAACCATGTGTAGACTGCGCAGGCGGGGAACACTGTAGCCGGCAAGTTAGCAATTTGTGGCTTTTCCCTAGTTCTTGTCGTTATTCTTGTGCCTACATTTTGCTCGCTCCTAACCAATCATCTAACGGGATATGTCAGCTTTCGACTTTTATTTTCCGCAAAATACCATTGATCTCGCTTCGATAACTGCTTTTTCCGTTACCTGAAGTTTCACCATGTAAACCTCTGCATGTTGAATACTTCGATCCAGCTCCTTGAGTGGTCAACCTACGGAGGTTTTGCATCTTTTCGTGGGGGTTGTAAAGGTACACATTTCTACCCGTTTAAATAATACGGGATCATGATTTTCTGAAACCTCTAAACACTTTGTTTTGTGTCCCTAGAACCTACAGTAAGAGGGGCTATCTGCACGCCGCACACGCGGAAAGATTACACTGAATTATGTAGATTGTTGTATCAAAGGATATGCTGTCTTATTTGAGAAAGAAAGAAGCAAACAGCAATTACTAGTCGAATACGAGATGTGAGGCACTTTTTTACTAGCATGAGTAAGTTGAGCATGCCGTTGGATCGATCATGTCACTGCCTAATTCGGAGAATTAAAATTACTGCAGCTCTCTGGTGTGCAGCTTTTGTTCACTACTGTTGAAAGCAATCCGGTTGATTAAGTCTCAAAATTCCCTTCTATGAAAGATGCGATAATGATCTTTTGTTATTGCCTCCTTAGCAATGCGAGGAAGAGAACATGAAGTGCCTGAGGTTACTTCAACTAGCTGACGACTATCGCGTCCCTGAAGTAACCTGTTTCATTCAAAATGTCATTAAGGAACAGACTTTGGAGAGAAAACAAGCCATATGGAATCAGAGACGACGTATGGCGGAGGTATGAATACATTTTTTTGCAATTTCTTGCCACTAGCGACGTAGGCCAAAAACTACTAACTTGTGAAGCAAGCTGAGGACGCGTGCGTGGCTAGTTTTGTTAATTCTTATACATAGCTACGTAAGATGACAATATATAGATGGCCGGAATGTAGTGAACGAGCTGCACCGCTATTAAACCCAAAAATGTTAAATAAATTATTATCGCTCAGTAGAGTCAAATGTCCTTTCCTTTGTTATTCTCTTCAAATCCTGTAACCCTTAACCACTATATACGTGTTAGCGTCAGTTTTCAAGCCTACTTTACATTTAGCTAATAAGGTACAATAGAACAGTGAATTTATCATGAATAAAAAAGCTAACGCTGAACAGTTTTTCTTAAGTAAAGATTGTGATCGTCAATCGATACATCAAAAGTAATGCGTAACTTTCCTTAAATTTAGTATATATACCTAGTTGGGTTACGTTGTCCCATGTCTCAGTGACTTTGGTTAAGTCATGTAATGCAGGTTGTGTAATGAAATATCAAGCTGCTTTGAATTCGCATAAAGTAAGAGCGGTGATGACAGAATGCTGAGGCAAGTTCCACGGCTGGGACACACGAGTGAAGAAAAGGTTCGCACGGCATTCCAACCATGTGTACTATCGCCAACTTCAAATTTGGCCTTTCAGTGATGTGTTGTGGCTCAGTTTAAGGTTAGCGTGCGTGGTTAGGGTACTAATAATCTAATAATTTCGGTCTTTAATTGTTTATGGAAGCGTTCGGCTAAACCATTCGCTTGGTGACGATAATCTGTAGTATGAATCCTTTTTCAGCCCAATAGTTCTGTTAACTGCTGGAAATGCTGACATTAGAGTTCGGAACCGTGGTCAGTGGTGATGCGGGAAGGAATAACAAAAATAGCTATCCACTTGCTGGCAAGTGCACGGAGGATGGTTTCTGCATGTGTCTGCAATGGAAATGGCTTGGTGCCATCAAGTGAGCAAAGTGGGACAATGCTTTATAACGGGTTAAAATGCACATACTTAACATGTCCTGTATGTTGGTAAGAGAAGAAATTGCAATTCAAATATTACATAGGTGGACTAAATATAATATTTATCGATGAAGCGATAGAGACATGTCGGATGGAAGGAAGTTTGTTGGGAGTGAGGTAGTACCACGTAAAATGCAATAACAACTTGTTGTGATTAATACTCATTGTAAGTAACAAGCAGGTTGCTCACCCCTCTGTGTCAATTCACTTGCCTCACTGTGGGTCATAATTCCAAAGAAACTAGTTAGTCTTGATATATGCAGAATAGCGTTCATTTCGCTATCCGGTCGTTGTTGAAAGCAGCTAAGTTGGGGACACAGACATCTGAGTTTGAAGGTCGTTACAGAGTTGGCATATCCGGAGAGAGAAATGCGTTCGTTGGAAATCTATACGACTGTATTGCTGACTCGGTTTCAGGCTATTGCCTCGGCGGTTGGTGTTCGGGCTGAGTTTCAAAACGTGGCGGCACATGTGACTGGGTTCGCTCAGTATTTGATGAAATAATATGTGCTCTCCACGCAGCCGCCGTTGCGTCCACTGAACACTCCCAGTGACTTCTGTCGTTGCTGGTACGGAAGTCTGTACAATCCCTTGACAAATTCCACTACTTGACGTTTGGGAGTTTTGAGCGTTTTAAAGTCACGCTTTAGCCAGAGATGTCAAGCCTGTCTTGCGTATTCAACGTGGTGACGCACGTAGGCATTGGAATCACGGTGAAGATAGATGAATCCAAACTCTCGAATGCCTTCCGCAAGAGACCAAGATGCTGGTTACAACTTTTTGAAGCGGACTATGACAATCTAGAACAATCGAGGTCATCCGGTATCAGCACACCGAGGTCACGTTCCTGAGAGCTTGCCTGCTGGTCGTACTCCCCAAGTCTGCACACTTAGGCTTTTCGATGGCAGATGTAGACAACGTAGCAATTGTCCACAGCAAACGACAGTGCGTTCCTCACCTACGAATGCCGGGCCTCACTGAGGTCGTCCATTCCCTTGATCGCCTGTCAAACCCTGAAGCCCTCTGCGGAAAGTAAAAATTTTCTGGGGATAACTCTTGCAATAAAAGGATATAGCGCTTTATAGCGATATAGTGAAAACGGAGAACAGGCGAGGCCTAAGTACCAAACCCAGCGGTACGCCGCACTCCACTCGAATCGGGTCGGAGAGATATTTTCGGAATCAAACGCCCAAATGCCTTTCACGTAGCAAGTTACCCAAACATCCTAGTACTGGATCTCTGACGCCGTACTGCTGAAATTTGTGTAACAGGATTCGGTGATCCAAGCGATCAAAGGCGTTCAACAAGTCTGTGTAAATAACACTTGTTCCTGTTACCTAGTCAACTGTTTCTATCCATTATTCACGTACTTCCTTCAGAATCGTAGTATGTAAACGATGTTGACTAATGCTCTGCTGCTCCAACACGATGGTGACATAAATTTCCAGGTAGCTCATCAGTAGGTACACATTGATCGCTTCCATGATTTTGGAAAGCAGTTAGATGTGTTACCGGCTTCTTCCCTTGGGAATGGGGATGTTAATACCCCGTTTCCACGTTGACGGAACTACGTTTTCGTCTAGATATCGCTGAAATAATCCAGCTAGTGATTGTACTAGGTGCAGGGCTGCTACCTGCAGTGCTTAGGGTGAATTTTATCTACTGCTGGGGGATCTGTGTACACACAAAGATAGTAGCTTCTACAATACCATTTCTGTTGTGAATGTAACGCTGGATAACACTGATGGTGTAGTGTCAGAAGTAGGAGTAGCGTACGAGTCGTCTATCATTTGTAAATTAGGTAAGTACTTGGCCCATACGGCTTTGGCCGCTTCTTTCTTCCTGTGTGTGCGGGATTTTGCATTGCACCTTGGGAAGTCTATTCACATGTCTGTAAAGCAGCTTGCGATTCAAGCAGAACCATTTCTCCAGCTCCTGTTGGTGTATTACCTAGTCTTCACGAGCTAACTGCAATGGGTATTTGCGCTGAGCTACGTACACTGTCCAGTTTTCAGTGCACTGGTTACTTTTGTAAACACGCCATGTCCGATCCCACAAAACCATAAATTTTTGTGTTCAAATTCTCAGAAAGCGTTTCATTTCAATGGAACGATCGACACCTGTCAGCGTGTACGAATTGCCACTGCAATTTGTAGCGCTCCGTCGATGTCGAGGTGGTAATGGTCGCATCAGCTTTTAGGTTGTTCGAAAGTGCTGATGTGAGATTGTGTATGCCGAATAACTTTCGAACGTTGACATGCTAAGCAAGCCTTTGCCTATGTGCGGATGTCGTTGTTCACTTTCGACCATACAAAACACTCACAACAATGAAACAATGGTTTTATACGGGTAAAAAGACCTGAAGCTTAACGGGTCCCGCAGGTTGATCATAGAGAAAATTCAAAGTACAGGAAAAATTGTTGGCAACGTCAGGTTCACACCGGTAGACTCAAAGCGATATTCGTAGTATGTAGTGTAAATCCACTGTAAGTCAAGTTCTGCTTGATAACACGCATGTGTATCCGTTTGCACACACATATATATCTGTTTAAACCGATTTCCTTAGGACTGGAGAGCACAATGTTTGCCCTTGTTCTATTGTCACTAAGTGAAAAGAAATCAGATCAGGTAATACTGGTGTTGTAATGCATTGTCGAGTCGTTTTTAAAACGGCTAGCGTAAGCATAGAAATGACAAAAGTCGAAAGAACGTTCCAGTGGTGACAAACTCGAAACGAAGATAGTTTCGGCGGCATTCAAGCCCACTCCATTGCATAGCCAGTTTCAGCTGATAACCCCACAAGTTTGTGTTGTTGCTAAGTTTCATGAGGTGGCGGCAAGCGTGACAGCGGTTTTTCAAGATCTGGTATACCAGAATGAGGCCGTCCCGTAGACAGCGGTAACTTCAGCTGTTCACTCCTAAAGTTTTAAGCCGCATATGATATGGCAGGTGGAGCAGTCCCTTCACATTTTTGGTTGCCCTTCGCTGTGCGGTATCCAGTGCAAACAGCTCGCGTTTTAACCAGGATTGCCAGGCCTGAAACGACTACTCCACATGAGGCTTCACAAACGCATGGCGCGTTTGGGGAAGATGGAGGGGCCGAACCACCTGAACAACCTCAGTAAGAGAGCAACATGTTGCTTAGTTTTCTTGGACACCTTTAAAAACTGAGTTGAACAGCCGAGGTCATCTTGCATCACCAGCGTGAGATCACGATCCTGTGAAGCGGTTTTCAGCAAGTGGTCTCTTAGCTTATATGCGCAAGTGGGCTTAGGGCGTAAATGTATAGTTTTGCAGTTGTCCGCGTTAAACGGAAGTAGATTTGCCTTTGACCATTTAAAGAAAGCCAACTTCACAGTTGTATGTGTACCGGGATGCACGACGTAATGAAGATTCCCGAATATAGTTTTACGTGTTGATGCAGTAACCAATGCTCTTGGGATTGCAGTAGAAACATCACATCTATCCTACCTGGTATAGTGTGCAAAGGCACTGGTTGGATTTTCAGCGAAAACTGTTCGTAATTCATTTTCCACTGCAGTGGTTCATCTTGTTTTAGTTGAGCCATACGTTCCAGATCGATGGGAGTTGTGTTCACTAAATGAACTTGCAGGCGTGACAGTGTAACAGCGACGATGTTATCTGGTCCAGGAATGTGGTGGATATTACTGATGTACTGTAAAATGAAGTCTAGTAAATGTATTTCTTGAGAGGAGTACTTGTGTGGCTTAACTCATACAGCGAATGGCAAAGGTTTGTGATGTGTAAAGATAAGGACGTCTTCCTTATGGGAAATGTCTTAAGTGTCGAATGCTTGAAGAAACGGCGAGTAACGCATGACCAAATGTACGGTACCGAGCTTCAGCTGGCGTGAGCTTGTAGGAGATAAATCTAAAAGGTTTTTGGACTTTATCGACTATTTACTACGAGACAGCTACTATAACAGTATTCGAGAAATTGAAAT